ATGTTTCGAAGCTCAAGTTGGTTCAGTGGCACAAACATCGGGGCAGCATCCTCATGCCATCGTTGTAAGAGACCTGAAATTCATGCTCACTGCTTTTTCTGTAACGCCACCACAGCTGTGCAGTGAACACCGCAGTGCAACATGCTTTGATCAGTGCAGTTTTGACAGATGCTGCTGAGCACATGGAGAATGTCCAAATGAGCATTTAGCTGTACATATTGCATGCAACTGGAAGTGTCTCTATCATCAGACAGGTCAGCAGTGACGTAATGTCTCAATATTTGACCTCATCAGTAACTTGGAAGCTGCCAGACGGGTGAAGTCAGAAAAATTCATTTAGTGTCTTTGCTCTTCACAATCATGATGTTGACCTTTTTTGCAGTATCCAGAACCGTTATTATAGTGTATATATTATATTATTATTACTACTATTATTATTAATATTATTATTATCACTATTATTATTGAAACAAACAGCCCGGACCGTTTATCGGGGTGCTCCGCTGCGCGGTCACGTGACCAAGCCGACAGCGAAGGAAAACAGGCTGTGATTGGCGGGAAAAAGAAAAAAATGGCGGCTGAGTGAGTTTGAAGTTCAGTGCCGCGAAACAGACAGAACCAGACGGACCCGGAGACTCTCTGAGCCGGAACCGAACCCTGACTGTCTCAGGCCACCGGACCCGAGCGGCTCGCAGGACCGGGAGGAGAACCACCGGGAGGAGAACCACCGGGAGGAGAACCACCGGGAGGAGAACCACCGGGAGGAGAACCACCGGGAGGAGAACCACCGGGCCGTTCAGTGGAGGTAAGACCGGTCGGACCGGGTTCTGCCGAGACCGGACCCAGTTTTTCTGTCAGAACAGCTCAGTTTCAGATGTATGAATGTAGAAACCATGATAAGAACTGGTTCCGGAACCGATCCAGAGAGGAAGACGGGAACTACTGGCATTGACGGGTTAGAGCCGGGTTACCGGGGGTTACCGGGTTACCGGGGTTACCTGCTTTCTGTGGTTAGCAGGTTAGTTAACGGTTTATCATCAGAGGATGTACTGCGCATGCTCCAGCCTGTCAGAAACCCCCTGACAGTTCAGGAATGAATCACAGCCGCAGACTGAGCAACTGTCTGTTTCTCCATCTGTCTGTCGGTCCGCACAGAGCCGACCGAACCCTGGGGTGACTCACCTGTCTGTCTGCAGGATGTTTGAGGATCTGACCGAACCCTTATGCAGTCTGGAGCCTCAGGTGTGTCCAGGGGGCGGGGCTTGCCACAGCACCGGGGTCCTGGAGGACGATGAGGGGGCGGAGCTTCACCTGAGCGAGGGTCAGTTTGTTCTCTGCCGTTGGTCGGACGGTCTTTACTATGTGGGGAAGATCCAGAGGGTGAGTTTACCGCAAACCGTCAACGCTCTGCTCTGATTGGCCCGGAGCTCTGAGTGTGATGCTCTGATTGGTGGACAGGTGAGCCCCCAAAGGCAGAGCTGCTTCGTCACATTTGAGGACAACTCCAAGTTCTGGGTCCTTTGGAAGGACATACAACACGGTGAGGGGATCCTAGGGTCAAAGGTCATGAATTCATTTTTCAGTTGGGTCCAGAACCGGTCTGGAACCTTTCTGACTGAAAGCTGTGTCTCATGTTGTTCCATGTTTTGGTCAGAGGGGGCGCTGTTTGTCTCATCCAGCTACTAAAATCTGTCCAGTCACATTGCAGCTGGAGTCCCAGGGGAGGAGCCTCGCTGCTCGGTGTGCCAGGGGGCGGAGCCTAACTCCAGCAGCCAATCGGAGCTGAACAATGGCATCCTGATCTGTGGAAAGTGTGGCATTGGTGAGTCTGCTGTAGTTGCCCCGGTAGCGAGGTGAGGCTGCAGTGAGCATGTGGGCATATTGGGGGCAGCAGCCTTATGACATCAGCTGCTCTGTTTCAGGCTTCCACCAGCTGTGCCACGTTCCTCCAGTAGAGGGCAGCGCCACCGAGCTCAGCCCCTGGTTCTGCAGGCGCTGTGTCTTCGCTCTGGCTGTCCGGGTACCAGCCGTCCTCTGTCCACGATGGCGCTGTCTCTCACCCCTCTCTCTAACCCACCCTCTCCCTCTCTCAGAAGGGGGGCGCCCTGAGGAAGGGTCCGATAGCCAAGGCGCTGTGGGCGATGAAGCAGGTCCTGCCGTACGATCTGGCAGCGCTGAACTGGGACTCTCAGCATCGGACCAATCAGCAGCATTGTTACTGCTACTGCGGCGGGCCTGGAGAGTAAGGCGACCAATCAGAGAGCTCTCTGCAGGTGCTGGCTGTTACCTGGATACTGATGATGCTGTGTCTGCAGGTGGTACCTGAAAATGCTGCAGTGCTTCAGGTGTCAGCAGTGGTTCCATGAGGCCTGCACCCAGAGCCTGCAGGACGCCATGATGTTCGGGGACAGGTGGGTCCTGGTGGGTCCTGGTGGGTCTTGATGGGTCCTGGTGGGTCCTGGTGGCTCTTGGTGGGTCCTGATGGGTCTTGATGGGTCTTGGTGGGTCCTGATGGGTCCTGGTGGGTCTTGATGGGTCCTGGTGGGTCTTGGTGGGTCCTGATGGGTCCTGGTGGGTCTTGGTGGGTCCTGATGGGTCCTGGTGGGTCTTGATGAGTCTTGATGGGTCCTGGTGGGTCTTGGTGGGTCCTGATGGGTCCTGGTGGGTCTTGGTGGGTCCTGATGGGTCCTGGTGGGTCTTGATGAGTCTTGATGGGTCCTGGTGGGTCTTGGTGGGTCCTGTTGGGTCTTGGTGGGTCCTGATGGGTCTTGATGGGTCCTGGTGGGTCTTGGTGGGTCCTGATGGGTCCTGGTGGGTCTTGGTGGGTCCTGGTGGGTCTTGGTGGGTCTTGATGGGTCCTGGTGGGTCTTGGTGGGTCCTGGTGGGTCTTGATAGGTCTTGGTGGGTCCTGGTGGGTCTTGATGGGTCCTGGTGGGTCTTGGTGGGTCCTGGTGGGTCTTGATAGGTCTTGGTGGGTCCTGGTGGGTCTTGGTGGGTCCTGGTGGGTCTTGATGGGTCCTGGTGGGTCCTGGTGGGTCTTGGTGGGTCTTGATAGGTCTTGGTGGGTCCTGGTGGGTCTTGATGGGTCCTGGTGGGTCTTGGTGGGTCCTGGTGGGTCTTGATGGGTCCTGGTGGGTCTTGGTGGGTCCTGGTGGGTCTTGATGGGTCTTGGTGGGTCTTGATGGGTCCTGGTGGGTCCTGGTGGGTCTTGATAGGTCTTGGTGGGTCTTGGTGGGTCTTGATGGGTCCTGGTGGGTCTTGGTGGGTCCTGGTGGGTCTTGATAGGTCTTGGTGGGTCCTGGTGGGTTGGTGGGTCCTGGTGGGTCTTGATGGGTCCTGGTGGGTCTTGGTGGGTCCTGGTGGGTCTTGGTGGGTCTTGATAGGTCTTGGTGGGTCCTGGTGGGTCTTGATGGGTCCTGGTGGGTCTTGGTGGGTCCTGGTGGGTCTTGATGGGTCCTGGTGGGTCTTGAGGGCACCTAGATAGAGAGACTCATTTCCTCACAGCCAGACAACCTCTGACCACCAACAGCTTTTCACCATTTACCAATAAGCAGCTAACTGCCAGAAATCCAGTCATGTTCTCCGACATCCAGAAGCAACAGTACGGACAGACACACAGTCTGCCACTTCCCCGGGATCCATGGAGCTGCATCGGCTCCGTCGAGGTCAGAATGGGCCCTATCAGGGCCAGACGGCTCTGCTTTGACCAGTTTGCTCAGAAAAATTCATCCATTACATTCAGAAATCAGCTGACCAGAGCAGGGCACAGAGGGAGGAAGGAGACGGAAAACATGGCCGCCTTCACCCAGAGCAGGAAGAGAAAAAAATGATGTTCATAAAAAGCACATCATAGGAGGCAGAAAGAGCCTAGTGATGAATACAGTCAATGGAAACTGGAGCATCTGGAGCAAATGCAATGATCTGGGTAACAGATGCATAGAAATGGTTTCATGAGGAGCGACCAGATCGCTCCAGATCCTTTGTCATTATATCCAGTGTTTTGCTGTCATTGACATGATGCGAATCATTGAATGAGAGGAATATTGATGCCTCGGTATTGAATGCCCTCCCTTGACCACCGAAAGCCGCCTTGTTGTTTTACCCCCAGTGCAACATTGACATCCGTTGCCTCCGTCTTATCAACATTTATTTTATGGCCAGGAAATGACCATCAACAGAGATCATCTCCCTCAGACGTGGTGTTGATGATGTTCAGAAGAAGATCATCCGCATAAAGAGATGTTTTATGTTCCTCCGCACCAATCAGAATCTCTTTCATTTCATCATGTCCCTGATAAACTGGGCCAATGGCTCAGTGCTGACTGTAAACATTAGAGATGCAGGACAGCTGAAGCTTGCAGGCCTGAGACCGTGACCTCTGACCTCAGCTTGTGGATATAATGAATGTATCCAATCTATGAACTTGGGCCCAAATTTAAACCTCTTCAACGCTTGAATAAGGTTTTTCTACGCCATCAAAAGCCTTTTGAGCATCTAAAGATATTCCAGCCTCAGCTTTATTTTCTTTTTGGTGAGTTATAATATTTAATAAACGCTGCAGGTTATTTCCATAATACCTTCCAACAATAAATCCGGTTTGATCTGGATGTATGATTTGATTATTAAGACATTTAATCGTCTCGCCGGTTAGAATGCGTCCGATAACGACCTGTATGACCTTACCTTCTTTATGTAACTGATGGCATCAGACCAGGACACTTCATAGTTTTGAGTGGTAAGAACATTTTTAATTTCTTCTTCTTGAATTGGCTTGTCTAATTGTTTAGCTACTGTATGGGATAACTCAGAAATATTTCTATTTGTAAATAGTCTGCTATCTTAGTGTCATCAGAGCAGGCGTCAGTGTCTGGGTATAAAACCTTGTAAAATCTTTTGGCTTTAATATAAATTTGTTGCCCCATTTGAGGGCTGTTGTTTCATAATACTGCTGCTGGGCAAAACCAAGGTCACCTTCTCTCTTTTCTGACAGTAAATCTTGGAGCTTTTTGCATGTTGTATTCAAATTGTTCAGAATCCTGGATGCTCTGAAGTTCCAGATCCTCTATCTTCTAAATATTTCTGTTTGGTTGGCTTGTTTTTGCTGTGGTGTAGGAGATGCTGCTGCCTTTGCACAGTCTCACAACATATTGTTATGTCTAAATAAGTTTTGAAGTCTGATTTAACAAAAGCAACAAAGTCCTTGTCATTAAGCAGAGAGGAGCATTAAGTCTCAAGCGATCATATATTCCAGAAACAGCTCAGAGATTGTGATGGGCGATATTGAGATATCCTCGATTCTGTGCAGCTCGGCCTTAGCAGTAAAAAAGAAATCTATTTGGTTTGAGTAAAATGTAAAATTTCTCTCCTTTGGGAATTTGGATCGCCAAACATCCACTAATCCAGCTGCCGTCTTAGATATGAGCGTCTGTCTAGATTTGATATTCCACAGTTAAAATCCGCCCACAGTCAGAAGTTTGAATAAACCCTGGAACGTCTTCATTAGGCCCAAATGCATTTCTAAAGGATCCTGCTGTCCATCCAGGATCCCTTCTGTAGAAATCTGTGCTCCTGTCCCGATGCACTAACGTTTCAGTAAAGTTAAGCTGCTGTACATATAGCAGGGCCCCTTTTCCTACTTGTTAAGGTTTATGTACTCAGACCTGATTTAAAAAATATATGTGGAAATGTTAAGTTGTGTTGGAGGCAGAGACTGCTTGCTGAGTAAAATAGACGCTGAACACTAGAATGATGCAATAAAATAGAAATAGTTATGCTTTTCTGTACAATATCTTCAAAATTAAGATTCATATGCTTCATTTTTTAGATGCAGTAAGATCCTCAGGGAACAGAAGGATCAGAAAACAATTAAAAGTCTGCATTGCTAACGTAATGCAAGGTGGTGTGTTTAAGGCTCCAGCCACTGTAGAAAGCAGCAACAAACAACTGGGAGAGAATTGGATGTGTAGAAAAAGGAGAACGATTAAGAGTGGAAGTTGAGGCTCCTGCAGGTGAGGAGAACCTCAACGTAACGTCTCCTAGTAACAGAAATGCCATACTGTTGAGAAGAAGAGCGAAATCTGACTGTGTAATGTAACAGGGTTAGAAGTGACCATGTGTTAGGCACCTTTCAAACAAACGTACCAGAGGCCATGCTCTAGAAAAGCACCCCACCCTCAGTGGAGGAAATGAGGGGAAAATGGGAGCTGGAGATGGACAGGCGGATGGATCGGTGCAGCATCTGCAGTCAAACACGCGCTGTCCAGGTCTATCATGGTGAAGAGAGGGCAAA